AGCAGGAATCATCAGGAACTCTGACTTACTAACAGGCTCCGCTTTGGAAGGGTTCTCAACCTTCAGGGTGTCATCTTTGTCAAGTGAGGCTGAGAAACTGGAGGTATGAGACAAGCTACTCTCCCGACTCAGGCTTCTGGAAAGGGTGGAGTCAACGCTCGACTCGGCAGAGGAATGCTCCATTTCGGCCAAGCGAATCCTCTTCTTCTTCGGTGGGAGCTTTTCCGTGGGCAATTTCGACAGCGTCTCGCTGCGCTGCGGCCAGTTAAACCTCTCTGCCTTCTCCTGCTCGCTGCACTGGTTTTCCTGCTCCCTGTCCGGCTCTTCCGTCACCAGGATTTCGGGCACCTGGATGTTGTGCTGGCGAACCAGCCTCGCCGGCTGGAGCGGCGCGCTTCGCTCGGCAGGGACGGCCTGGGCTCCCTGAAGCTCCCCTCGAGGTGGCTCTGATGAGAGGGGCTGGGGATGCTGGGGAGTGTTCAGCTGACAGTGTCTGTCCTCCTGGACGACGATGGTATTCAAGGAGCGGTGCTTCACAGCCTTGTTGGGCTCCTGAGAGGACACGGGTGACAACCTTTCGAAGGACTCCGACTTCTCGAAGGAGCTGTTTCTGCTCAGGGAATTGGTGTGCTGGATCACTGAAATGCCAGTCCCTTGCCTTTTCAGCTCCACTTTCTCTTGCACAGCTGGGCTTGCCTGCTTCTCAGAGAGAGGGGCTGTTTTTGGCTCGGCCGTCTGATCCGTGCCCCGAGCCACCAGCTGGACTTGGGAACTCTGCAGGAGAAGGTTGCTTGGCTTCTGTGATCCCACCACCGTTGTGGCGCTGTGTTTTGAGAGACCAGAGGAATTTGCTGGCTTGCTTTGGCCGTCTGTGTTCTTTGATGGTACGCTCGTATCGTTTTGCTGGGGGTCATCATCATCGCCAACACTTTTCATCTTCCTTCTTTTCCTTATCTGGGGTGTCTGCTCCCACACACCCGTTGAAGTGGTGACTCTGTAGTGTAGGATTTGAGGCTGCGTGCTGTTTGGAACAGTTTTATGCTCAGGCTCTCGGATTGCTGCTTTAGTTTTAGGTCCGTGCAACTCTGAGCAATAAAATTTCTTGTGGTTTTCAAAGTTTTCCAGTTTTCTGTATCTGTTTCTGCAGGTCTCACACTCAAACATCGTGCCTCGCACCTGAGGGGACTTCTTGGTTTTTTCTACATTTGATCCCTGTGCCAGGGACTTGCTCCTTTGCAATAAAGATTCGTTTGATAAATTACATCCCAGATAACTTTCTTCTACAGATCGCACCGGTCCAAGAACTTGGCTTTCACCAGTAGAAGAATCTTCTATTGCTGCCTGTCTAACAAGGGTCCGAGGATGTCCACCTTGGTTCAGAGGAGTAGCAGGTCCCGATACAAAAACATCATCGTATAAAGAGCCAATTTTATCATCAAAGGACTGACTTCCTCGAAGGGGATGAGAGGGAGGTATGACGTTTGGAGGTACTGCTGAGTAACTGGTCGTAGGCATGGAATTACTTCGTGTTATAGGTAAACAGTCAAGGGATGGTACAGAGAGAAGAAAAACTTGCTTCGATTTCTCAGTGGGTGTGAAAGGAGACTTTGGTATATCAGAGCTTGAGCTAGTTCTTCTTCCCATGGGCTTTAAATCAAACTGGAAAGAATCCTTAAATATGTAGGATTTGGGTGAATCTATGCTTCCTCTCCTCGAAAGAGACGTTCTTCTGGGTTTCACACTATCCAACTGCTTGTCATCCACAACGGCTTCGTTGTCAGAAATTAACTTTGAGATGCGCTCCTCCAGGGTTTTCGTTGCCATGGGAGGTCGCATTTGGCCCGAGAGAATCAGATTTTTTTCGGCACAGACAGTCTGTACCACTGATGCCACCACGCCGCTCGCTCGCGGCCCACAGGGCAGGTTTTTGCTTGAATCTTTCTCAGAGGCCAACACTCCTCTTACGAAAGGAGCTGGTGGGCTCATGGTTTGATCGGCACTTTCAGAACGAGAGAAATACCCAGAATCAGTACTACCCAAACTTCTGGGGCTCAAAAGGCATTTTCCTTGCTGGTCCTGGGAGCCATCGGTCGCCTGTTGTCTCTGGAGCTGAGCATGTGCCGCTCCTACCGCGGATCCCAGCTGTTCCTCCAACAGGCCCATCTCTGCTTTCTGGTGCTGCTTGACATCACCCTCCTTGAATGAGGCTGTGTGTGTTAAATTTGACTGAAGAGCTGTCACTTTGAGATCTCCTTTCCTCTGTGCTGCAGCGAGCTCGGGTGCTGGTTCTGTTACTTTTGGGCTGTCAGCCCTTAATGGGGAAACATTTACAGGGTGAACTACTACTTTTGGTAAAGCTGCCCTTACTTGAGGTTCTGCATCAGGTAAGGAAGAGTCACCTGGTATACAATCTGGGTTGCTCAATGGGACGGGGCTTCCCTTCCGCAAGGTTTCTGCACTCGAAATGACTTTTGCTATCTGGGCAGGTTCCAGTTCTTGATCATCTTGTCTTTCATCAGCAGTGCCTTCATCTTCACTCTCGCCGCTCTCCTCCGCGTCCGAATGGATGCTAAGTGCTTTGTCCGAGTCGTGAGACAAGAAGAGGCCTCCTGCATCTGGTTGGAGGACAAGTCCCAGCTTGATAGCGTGTGCGTGGGATTTTTTGTGCTTGTAGAGGTTGCTTTTGGTTTTAAAGGAAAAGCCACAGGTCACGCAGGGATAGGGCCGCTCGCCGGTGTGGGACCTGATGTGCTTTTGGAGGACGCTGGGCTTGGCACAGGCCCGGTTGCAGTACTCACAGACATATTTCCCCAGCTTCTTCGGCTTCTGGTCTTTCAGGAGGTTACATATTTGCTCTACACCATGGTTTACGACTGATGCTATCTGGGCTGAGTTATACACGGGACCTATAGACAGCTGTGTGGAATTCGAGGTGCTGATCGACAGAGGTGAAGACGAACTGGCTACTAACTGGTTTGGAGGAAAAACCTGAGTTGCACTGGAAGATGAGGTGTGAACGACAGACGAAGTCACTGCTATGCTGTATAACTGCTGGAGCTTGGGGTTGTCTTGACTCTGCTGTTGCACCAACGATCTAGTGAAACTTGGACACACAACAACCTGGTGATTTTGTTGACTGGTTTTAGTGAGAAGGTCTTGTGAGTGAGAAACTGACTGGCCTGGTGCTTGTCCAGTCTTGGCTGCTGCTGCTACATGCACGTTGTTTAACGTGCACGAGTAATAGTGAGGCCCACCTGCAAACTCATGCTGTGACAAAGCAGACTGACTTTGGACGCTCACCGTATTGGACGTGAGACTAGAAGAGGTGCTTACAGTTTTATTTGGTCTCAGTTTCTCTACCTGCATCCCATAAGAGGGGCACTCTTGTGCTAAGGTGTTCAGTTCAGGCTCCATAGCTTTTAATAAGACATCGAACGCGGTGCGTGTACACGGGGCTGACGTACCGCCGTCAACAAAATTAATACATTCATTAGCGTCAGTCTTTGTTTTACTTGAGGAGTTGGAGAGAGATTTCTTCTCAGGTGAGTTCAGTTGGTTTGCAGCAGTATCCTCCACTGCCTGTTTACCCAGATCTAGGGACTGAGGAGCCAATGAAAGCTTGGTCTGCACGGACGCCTCGGAGGCGGTGGTTTCCACACCTATCTCACTGCTCAGCGCTCCCCCGTTCTGTTTGGTGCATTGGTTTCCATTCTGCACAGGTAGGTGATCCTGTGCATGTTCAGAGGCATCTGGAAGAGCTTTCAGAGGTGAAGGGTCTACATTTTGCTTCACCTTGGCTTCGGCAGGGCTTCTCAAAGGCGATTTTGGTATTTTTTTTAGGTGGTTTTCAGTCACGATCTTTTTTCGTTTCACGCCCTTAATTGTATCTTGGGTTCCTCTAGTACCAGCATCGGTGATTTCTATTGAAACACAAAGAGAAGAAAAAAGAATATTAAAACTGGATAATGCAGGTTTGTTGTTTTTTTTTTTCATTTATGTCATTCTTTCATCTCCAAGTTTCAACAGTAAGCCCTGGGCAACAGGACTGTCCATTTCTACAGCCTCCAATGTCTTCTTTAACAGTAAATGTATCTAGCAAAGATCTATTTTGTTTTCATCTAAAAAGAGCAATGCTTTCTAACTGATGTTGTAAGACATTACAAAAGTAATTCACTATTGGAGAGGCTTCAAAGGAGATAAAAGAAAGGCTACTGAAGGAATATTTTAGCATTTATAGCAGCTCCTTTTCAGAAGAGTAAAAAGAAACCTCTCTCTTGCACTTGTTTAAAAATTCAGATCATTATAGCAGGAAAATGAAGAACCAAGACACAAATCCATTTTCATGTCGTATTTGTCACTTTTTCCATCTCTGTGTTGCCATAGTCAAGGAATGAAGACAACTTCCTCATGGCTGTATTTTTAAGTAGATGTATCATGGAAATGGCACAACCACCCACACCATCTGTCAAATACTGTATTTCAGAGCTCCAATCACTGAAATTCGAGAGCATTTCAGATGAGCAACTACTGTGGATGAATAAAATCAGCCACGCTTAAATGACTCTCTATTTCTGCATCATGAAACAAAATTAAAAAGTTGAATTATTTCATTACTAGCTACACTTGTTGCTGATTTTAAGCAAGTATGCATATGGAGTCTCAGGGGTGTAGTGAAGAGCCAATGAACTGGAGCATTATTCAGCAGAATAATTTTGCAGCAAGAACTTATATTTGTACAGAGTTCAATTTCCTGTAAGAAAAAAAAACAGACTGAACTTCAGTGTTGATATTCACAACCTTATTTTTTTTTATAGACATCTGATGTTACACACCTTTGTTCACCTCAGTGTGGTATTTAATCTGTTTGTTAATGACTTAACTTTTTTTTTTACAACTTTCCTAATGTACGTTCATTCATAGCTACTGTTTCTGCAACCATCACTGGTAGTACAGAGGAAACCAAATATTCAGTTGATGTAAATCCTGTTGCTGAAAAAGACCTTTAAGACCATCAAGCCCAGCTGTTAACCCAGCAGTGCCAGGTCCCCACTGACCCATGTCCCTCAGCACCACATCTCCACGGCTTGGAAACCCCTGCAGGGATGGGGACTCCACCACTGCCCTGGGCAGCCTGGGACAGGGCTTGACAATATTTTTGGTGAAGAAATTTTTCCTAACATCCAACCTAAACCTCCCCTGGGGCAACTTGAGGCTGTTTCCTCTTCTCCTGTCCCTTGTCCCTTGGGAGCAGAGCCCGACCCCCCCCTGGCTCCAGGCTCCTGTCAGGAGCTGTGCAGAGCCAGAAGGTCTCCCCTGAGCCTCCTTTGCTCCAGGCTCAGCACCCCCAGCTCCCTCCGCTGCTCCTCCCCACACTTGTTCTCTAGACCCTTCCCCAGCAGCTTCATTGCCCTTCTCTGGCCACGCTCCAACCCCCCAATGTCCTTCTTGGTAGCAAGGGGCCCAAAACTGAACCAAGGATAACATATACAGAGACAAATTTCTCAGAGTTGACTTCACAAGGAGGTAAGTGGAGAGAGCTCAGGCTTCCCAGTACTCATCAATCCAAAGGCCCCTTCGAGTGGCATGAAGACTATCCTCTTGCAGGAACACCAGCAGGCTCCTGAGCTTTGGTGGGAGGAAAGCCAGTGCATGGCATACATCTGATGAGGCACATGGGAGCTGACAAACCATGGGTGGAATTCCTGCTCCACGAGAAGGAAACCCAGGCAATTCCTAAAGCTCCTCCAGCAGCACAGAATGCAAAGTGACCAGCAGGAAAGGAAAGCAAGATGATGTTATGTTTTTTCTGTTCCAGAGCATAACCCACCCAGGATGTGTGCTAATGTCAGAAACTTGGAAGTTCAAAATCCCATCACCAACTCATCCACGAGAAGGAAACCCAGGCAATTCCTAAAGCTCCTCCAGCAGCACAGAATGCAAAGTGACCAGTAGGAAAGGAAAGCAAGAAGATGTTATGTTTTCTCTGTTCCAGAGGATAACCCACCCAGGATGTGTGTGCTAATGCCAGAAACTTGGAAGTTCAAAATCCCATTACCAACTCAATGCCAGCTTAACGTAGACAAATATTCATCTAGGGTGAACAGATATTCTGGAGATCTCCTGGCAAACTGCAAGCTTGAAGTCTACACATCACACATAATACATTGCAGATGTGGAAGTTCTGCAGAACCTGATCCATTCCTCCCTCATCCCTCCTGAGGAAGTGTAACTGTGAGGAGCAAGACTGATTTGTCACATTCAGCAGTCCCATGAAGGAGATGGTTGAATCCCTTGCAAGAACTCCAAATCCTTGCTATGGGGACTTGGTGTTTCCTTTGTGCATCCAGCAAAATTTCTGCAGCCATCATTCACCTAACCTTTAAATAAATTTTGCATTTATTGCTTTATGACCAAAACTCATTCATATTACATTTAAGATATTCAAAGCTGAGCAATCTTCTATCACAATGTTTTGTACTTCCCATTGCTTCACGATTTAACAAGTGGTTTACACTAAGTTTTCACCAATATTATCACTGGTGATTTCTTTAAAATTCAGTCTACTGCAAGTGTATTTTCTTCAGCAACAACAAGAATCAATTTTACATGAACCAGAGAGGAAATAACAAGGTAATTATATAAAGGCTGCTTTCAGCCATGGTTTGGTCATCTCTCTGCAGCATGGTCACACTAATTGAGCGTAAGTAACTTGGTTCCTTTGATGCACACACAGCAGCTTCTACCCCGTTGCAATCACACCTCCATACCCATCACACTGCCAGTGGCTGTACTGGAGTGCTATGGGAAGAACTGGGCAAATGACACATCACTGGGAAGGTAGGAGCACTGGGAATTGTGAACATCCAAGCAGAGAAACACATGCAAAGGAAGACCAAGGTGTTGGATCGTTCAGTTACTGCAGTATAAACCAATGGTGCTGCTACCTGATGCCTCAGATCATTAAATCACTACTAGTCCTGCTTTTCAACCATCTAGTGCAAAGGAACAAGCACCATCCTAGTGAACTGGAAACCAGCACACCTAAAAGATGGAATGTGTCTTAGGAAACCCTTAAAGAAAGTAAAAAAGTATCTCTGATCTACCAATCGTGCAATGAAAAATAGGAATTCATTATGAGTCCCAGATCAGAATTTTCCACAATCCATTTACTGCTTTACTTTTTAAAAATGTTGTTCAACACATGCCAAGCCATAAAAATTGTTCAGGAAATTGAAAAGGGAAGAAAAACTAATAAACAGAGGCAAGTTATGCAGTGAATAACATACAGAAAGAGTAATTTTCTTTAGTCTTCACAACCACTAATTGTGCTGCTTCTATACCAATAAAATTCCAGCCTATGGAAATCATGAGAACCAGCCTCTCATTTGTATTTCTGACTCTACATCTTTTGTGATGGAGTTCTGGGTTTGCTTCAATGTGCCATCTACAAAATCTTGTAAAATATCCTTTCTTGGCAATGGCTTTATAAGTCTTTTAACAATAGTTTAAGTCCTGTGCTCTACTCCTAGATAATTTCAAAATCCTTATTATTAATGGAAACATTCACCTTGTGCTTGCTAGTAACACATTTCTAGCATGTTTGGGAGAAAAAAAGAAATCCCTGACAACTTTGTTTCACTTATTTTCAGCTTCTCATTCCTTTTGTCTAAGTCTTGGTTTTGTATGCTTTGTTTATGTTGAAGATATTCCATCACACGTTTGTTAATCTACAGCTACATGCTTGCACAAAGATCAACTGCATCAGTATTTCCAGAGGCAACAAGAAAATGGGTGGAAAGCATCAGTTCCAGAATGTTAAACACTCCTCTGCCTGTCAGAGCTATGAACTTTCAGGAGCATGGTAACTTGCCAGAGCTGTGGACTCACATTAACAAGTTGACACTGAACAAAGGGAATGTAAAAGCATCTTCATATGGAGGAAGGACAAAAAAAATAAATGGAAAAGTAAGTTGACTTGCTTTTCTTTCTCTCTTTGCTGCTCCATGGCACTCTGCTCGCCTCCCTCTGCAACCACACAGCCCTTCTCATCGGTGGGTGGCAATTCCCTTTGCCTCAGGTGGTGAAGTGATGTTGAGAAGCGCTGTCACCTCAGTCAGATGTGTAAAAAGGAGCTTTTTCATAAGCTGTGTTACATGAAACAGCATGAAGTTCCTCAGCCCACATCCCAGGGCCACCAGAGCATCTCTTTGGTGCTTTGCCTGGCTGGCTGTGCTCTGCTTTGCTATCGAGATCCTCTGCTCAGTTCCTTTGCTTCAGTACAAACTCTGCACTTCAAACCACAACGAGGAAAAAACCCCGACGTTTCTATACAAGACTTTGTTCACCTCTAATTTCTCTGCTGCACTTTGCTCTAAGCACAGGAAATGGAGCTAAAGAACCCACGTGTGATGGTGTAGATAGCACTCTGGCAGAGGAACTCGGGCAGCACAGAAAGGAGAGGTATAACCCAGCTGATTTCTGCCTGCCGAAGCGTTTGCTGGTGCACCAGGCAGTGTCTTGACAAAATGATCTCAATGGTTTTGTTTAAGTCACTTCCAGAACTGCCTGTCTCAAAGCCTACGTGTTATTATAACACCCACTCTCTTTGTCTCCCTTCTAATAGAGCTACGTGCTTGCACTTAAAATAAAGGCAGACATGAGGGAACCTCAGCAAAGCAGCCAGCTCCCTTCTCCCTGGGTGCTACCACGCAACACGGAGCAAGCAGCCACTACCTGCACCTATGGACAGCCCAAATTTCATCCCACGTCCTCACCTGGTGTTGAGGAGTTTAAAAAACCACTGTAGGTTTACAGGCAAAGACCAGATTTGCAAAGCCAAGCGCCTGAACTTTAGCTCCTAAATGTGGACTTGGGCTTGCAGGGCACTGCAAGGAAGATCAAGCCTCTTCTGAAAGCATCC